GCGTAATCAGTGGCTACGGCTATCAAATTGTTTGAAGTGAGAGAAGTAGGAAATGGTTCAACGAGATCAAGACCGATGCGGTAGAAGGGAACGGTGGGTATGTCTATTGGTTGGATCGGACCAGCTGGTAGCAAGGTGGAATGTTTGGAGCACTGGCAGGACTCACATGCACGTATCGGCACACAGAACGGTAAAGGCCTGGCCAGAAGAATCTACGCCGCACGCGCTCGTACGTGCGCGTGACCCCGAGATGTCCCGCGTTTTGGGCGTCGTGAAGCTATTCAAGTACAGCGGAACGGAGTGTCGCAGGAACTACGAGTAGTAGCTCTGGTCCTTCGGCGCTGGTGTTGCGTCGGTAAAGAATGCCATCGCGTAGAAGGAACAAATGTAGCGACGGGTCTACATGGGGCATGCGTATACTCTGCTTGATAGACCGCAAGTGGACATCGCTGAGCTTTTCCTTGCGTATGTCGGTGAAAGCCGACATGGCGAAGACACAAGGGTCAGAATCATGTGCTGAAAGGTCAAGTGGGTCCACGGGGTGACGGGATAGACAGTCGGCATCCTGGTGCATTAGGCCAGATTTGTATGCCATGTCGAAGCTGTATTCTTGTAGTTTCAAGGCCCAACGGCCAAGTCGTCCTGTTGGATCTTTAAGGAACGACAGCCAGCACAAGGCATGGTGATCTGTGATTACCAAAAGGTGCGGCCAAACAAGTATGGTCGAAATTTTCTGACTGCCCAGACTAGTGCGAGGCACTCACGCTCTGTAATGGAAAACTTGCTCTCCGAAGGAGAAAGGAGGCTTCTGGCATAAGCAATGACGCGATCCTGTCCTCGTTGTCACTGGGAGAGAACAGCACCAATTCCATGTCCGCTTGCATCGGTACGAACTTCAGTATGGGCTGACGGGTCGAAATGGCCCAAGATGGGTGGGGAAGTAAGTAATGTTGTAACGGTGCTGAAGGCAGTTGCTTGGTCAGTACCCCAATAAAAAGGCATGTCCTTCTTCAGTAGTTCCGTAAGTGGTCGGGCAATGTCAGCAAAATTCTTCACGAAACGTCGAAAGTAAGAACAAAGGCCGATAAAACTCCGTACATCTTTTGCGGAACGTGGTATGGGAAAATCTTTGACAACTCAAACTTTGTCGGGATCAGGTTGCACGCCTCGAGCCCTGACAAGGTGGCCCAGCACAGTGATTTCCCGACGGTCAAAGCGACATTTGGAAGAGTTGAGCTGAAGTCCTGCTTTCCGGAAAACCTCAAGAACAGCCGTTAGGCGGCTAAGGTGACTTTCGAATGTAGGTGAAAATACGATGACGTCATCGAGATAGCACAGGCACGTGGTCCATTTGTATCCACGCAGGAGAGTCCATCATCCTTTCAAATGTAGCTGGCGCATCACACAATCAGAATGGCATAACCTTGAACTGAAAAAGTCCATCCGGTGTGATGAATGTGGTTTTCGGATTGCGGATGAATTCGGTGTGGTGAATGTGGTGTTACACGACATCGGCAACGAAAGAACATCATAGACGACGAAGACGATGAAAGCGACCGTGCTCGTGTTGTTGTTGCTGCTGTTCTTCCATCTTGGCTGCAGCTGCCTCTGACTCTCCCTGTATATTTTGTAAATATATTTATTTCATTCATTTTCTTACCCCCGTAACAGTATATTTGACATCTCCCTCTCAAGGTGATCATAGTTTCCGAGACCAGTGTCGCTGTATTGAAGCGGTGAAGTGAAATAGTTAAGTGCTGATGACTCCAGAGATGTCCTACAGGAGCCTTTTTTCTGTTGTTGTAACACTATATTGTAGTGGAGTTTTTTCATTCACCAATGATGTGTCTGAATCATCTACTGCTTCGAGTATGAGAGCACCTGCTGGGAAAACTTCTTCAATAAGCACTACGGAAAGGCAATGATGGCAACGCGTAAATGCCCCACAGTTTGCGCTTTTGTGCAGCGCGAGGCGTGCTAGCGGAAGGCGGAATGGCTACTCACGTGCACGGTTCAAGCTGCCAACTCTGCCTCTCGTGTTCTTGAAGCACTTCGTGGTATATGCATTAGTGCAGACGTAGATTACCCTGTTACTGCAAAGCACAGCACTCTGGCGTTTCTCTTATCAAGTAACGATGATTATGTGTCTGCTGGCACCATCTTTGCGTGCTGCTTACCACATGCTATGCAGGGTTGTATGCAAACTACTCGCTGCTGCTACGGTTAAAGTACGATCATGGACGTTGGTCATCGGGATGCGTACGTCATTGTGGATCCATCTGCATCAAATGATGTGACAGCTAGCTGTCAAGCGCAAACTTGCATTGAGAAAACTATCCTACATCAAAGCATATTGCTAAGTGTAATCTTGTGAAGCCATGACTCACATTTCTACCAAACCAATTTTCACGGAGAGAGAGTAAGTTTGTGTGGAAGGAGGGATTGAACGTGGGCGTGTGTGTCACAGTGTGTGGACGTTTTCGTCCCCTAAATATAATAACTGAACAGAAAGTGGAGCTGGCCTGCACACCCACAAAATGTAAATGGCGCGCGCCCGCATGTGTGTGTGTGTGTGCGTGTGCGTGTGTCTGTGTGCGTGCGTGCGTGCGTGCGTGTGTGTGTGTGTGTGTGTGTGTGTGTGTGTGTGTGTGTGTGTGTGTGTGTGTGTGTGTGTGTGTGTGTGTGTGTGTGTGTGTGTGTGTGTGTGTGTGTGTGTGTGTGTGGGTGTGTGTGTGCAGATTTTTCCAGCACGGACCCAGCCCGGTGCGACAGCGTAACGCTCCGGCCTGCCCGAGCCCAGCCCAGCGTTATTAAGGCGCATACCCGGCCCGGCCCGTTTCACTTAATTATGCCTTGAGCATAAATGAGGCACTGTGTGATTTTCGATTGCAGTGAAGATACCTGCCCAAACACGATATTTTCTAGAGTGTTTTCAGAACTTATTGTAATTGAACCTTCACTGGTACTGTGAATAACTTCGGTTAATTATGGTCGTAAGATTTTCGCGAAATGATTGTACAATACCATAACATAACATAAGTTATCACTTGAGTCGCAAGTGGCTGCCTCAAGAACGCAGTGACACTCGCGCGGTCTTGTTTTTGCGTAGTACAGGCACAGTATTGTACGTCTATCTATCTATCCATCTATCTATCTATCTATATATCTATCTATCTATCTATCTATCTATCTATCTACCTATCTGCCAAGCTCATTACGTCTGTATCACCCCCTTAAGATTGGGTAAGCCAACATTAGTATGGGATGGTGAGATGGCTTCACGAATATGACTCACTGGTCATGACATGAATGATATCACAATCCCATCACACACGTCTTCAAAACCTTTACGCTACACGTGTAGCACGTATATTCGGGGGCGGCTATGTGCCACAGGTATGCGCCATCAGGGACTGACCCTTATATCTACTCAAAAACTGCATGGACAGACATGGAAATTTCTAGCGCGTGAGCATTAAGAAAAAGCTCTCATAGGCAGCGTTCACCAGACGATGGAAAGCATAAATGTCTGAAGCCCAGCAGGAATCAAGCTAAATTATTGTGCGTGGCGATTAGGTATTCAAGCACAGAGCCATGGCAGGTTTCAGAACTATATTTAGAATTGGTCCCAATCCATTGAAAACATCAGTTGTGGTTGCAGTGCTAGATATCAAATTTTATAACAATGCATATTTACTGCTGCGATACAGCCGTTTCATGAGGCTGATGTCAATTGTAGTTAGGCGCCATCTGCTGAAGTTGATTCATGTAGGAGTGTCCAGGGCTACCATCCTCGCGAGCACCAGCGCTTAATATTAGCTTAGTCCTTCAGGTGTTGCTGATATGCTTGCTGCTGTTGGCAGCGCTGTGCAACTGTAAAAAACTGATCATTTGAAACATATGCGCCTATTTAAGGTATGTCTGGTGGTACATTCTTCCATATTTTCAGCACCTTTTTGTAAAGTTTCGCTCAATAAAAAATTAAACAGTGCAACTTTTCATCCGCAAGCTTCGCATGACATCCATTCCCAAGGTACGTGGCATCTGCCTAGTTTTTTTGCATTTTATATAACGACGACAAAATATATTACCCTCTAAAGAAAAAAATGCGACAAATTTGTACTTTGACTAGATAAATTGCATACGAACTGGGGCTGATGAGCTAAAATATTGTGTCTTGAAAACTTGATTTTTTGCGCACTGCAAGAAAAAAAACGGGTTCTAGCTGTTTCCGGGAGAAATACACCAGGCTGGGCACTTATTTAAAAAAAATCTGTCGTGTCCACTAATCGGCGGCCAACTGTCGCCAAAGTAAACTACGTTTTCAAGCTCCCAACAAGCAGGTTTTTTGACACACTCTTCTTATATAGGTCGCCGCTACCGCAGTTCCATCCGTGATTTGTCGAAATCGAGACACACCAGTGAGCGAGCAAGCCTAATTTTTTGCATTTATTACTTTTCGCTATATAAACCACGTGCTGTTTTCGCAGGCTTCATCACGTTTTTTTCTTATTAAAATACCTGAATGGTAGTTCAAAGCCCCACGAACTTTTTTTGTTGTTCTTGTGAGTGGCAGTGGACGCCGGGCTCGCATTTCTCCACCGTTTGCAGGCAGGTACGCCGGCAAACGAACACACTGCTGGCAGCGCCACCGGGCGCTTAATTGGACGCGCCAGAAAAAAAAAGTAAAAATAAGTTTCTGGCACAACCTAAATGTACATCAAGTGCGTGTGCGTTTCAACTTATACATGATTGTTTTTAAACAAAACATGTCTGCCCGCGAGCATTCCTTACGGTGGATTGACCACATCGCTGTTGAGGGGCGCTGGCGGTAAATATTCGTAGCTTTTCAACGTGAAGCGGAACTTGTAATTCATTTTTTCGTGGTACAAAAACATGTCGGTGGCCTCCGATGTGATCAACGATCTTCTAATTTTCGCCACCACCAAAACATTGATATGCGAATGGCCGTATAGAAAACCAGCTCAAAATAAACTTACGGCATTCGTCATGACGGCCAAGTATGTGATCAGCTCCTGATTTTTATTGTAGTATTTTTGGTGTGCTTTGTCGGAAATGAGGTGAAGCTCCACTTGAAACTGCTCAACGTTCGAAGCCCGTGATTGCAGATCTAGAAAAGGTAACACCCACTCAGTGCATTTTTCATGTTGTCTTTCACTGCGGATATTAACAAGCCTACTTCTTTTGGGCCAAACACTTACTCAGTGTGCGACAGAGGATGGTCACACACAGAGTAATAGCCTACAGGCTCTTGTTTTTTATTTATTCGTTTATTTTATAGTCTGGCGAATCGCGAGTGCTCACTATCACAAAAAGCGACAATTACGTATTATTAGAAGAATTCTAGGGCGGTCCAGCGAACTTCGGCGTTGCATTCACGAATAAAGGAAAAATTACCACAAACACTTCTTCTGTGCTGGAGATTGTGTGTGCACTCGGTAGAGGTAAGTACATAATTGCTTAACTAAAAGCTCCTAAAACCTAAATGCGCAATGGCCCTCCATATGAGGTACAGCAAGCCGCCTCATGTATACGTCTTTCTATACTTGTGCACTCTGTACTACCTACACACTTGTCGCAAAAAATGTCCGTGCTTAAAAATATTCTTAGCTCTACTGTGCCCATTTCCAATAAGACGTACTTAATAACTTTTCTTTCATTCGTAAGAAGATTGCCTGGCAGCTTTATAATTCGGGTAGACATTTGCAGCATACACCAAAATGATTTTTTGCGCTGGCACGAAGACCGGTAATTTTTTAAATGTGGAAGTGATTTCATACTTCTTACGGCAAAACTCATGTATAGGATGTGACAAATATTACAACAGACAGACATTCATTCCACTTGCACCAAGTTAGTAATGTTCATGTGAGAAAAAATTCACTTTTAAAAGAGACTCACTGTTCAAGTGCTGCATGCCATCGCTGTTCGTGTGTTTGCTCACATCGTTGACCCGCACAATTTCACCTTGCAAAGAGATATATGAAAGCATTTTCAATGCTGCGAACATTTATCAAGTATTGCATGCGTGATGCAGGGGCAATATAAAAAAATATCGATCATTGATCAAGAACGGTCACGTGTATTGGTGACTACGTTGATTCTTGAATAAATAAAACTAACTTCTATAACCGTCAGTGTGAAAGTTTCATATGCGTAATTTGCTATCAAAATAGTACAAACTCCCGAATCGTTGAATTATGGTTTTACATGCCACTCTCGAGTGACACCCTCGAGCCCATCTCAAAAGAGAATCAACTTCATTTTTTTAATTGACAAAGAACGCTGTATTAGCCTCTATAAACCAGCATACAATTCTAGTTTTCTATAGAGAACGAGCAGTTAGTTGGTGCTAAATATGCTGGACATGATGTCGCGTGAACTTATCATTGGGTATGAGTGTAGTGCCGAGAGTCGTCGGTGTTTAGCAATTCAAGCTGACGCTCTAGGGTGAGTGATGGAGACACGTCCTTACTTCCGTACGAAGTTTCTTGCGTTTGGCCGCTTTCTAGAACTACAAGTGATTCACTCCTTACCTTTTTATTCACTATGTAACGTTATTAGGGTAACGCTAGATGTAATTAAGAGAACTTATTTCTGACTCTCGACTGAAGGCCATTTTCTACTTGTATATATATTTACCAGATTTTAATTACTACTCCGAAACGCCTACAAAATAGGGTGCAGCCCTAAACGCAAGCCCTGTCTATTCTTTAGCAATTGAAAATTTTCGCGTTTGATTTTCATGCACTACAATCACCCACGACCTATGCGCCCAGCGTAACGATGATATAGAAGCAGCCATTTATTTCGCCGAACAGGTGCACGCAACTCTGACAGGAAACGCCAAAGTAGCAGTGCTTTGAAACCAACAATGCCAAATCCGAGCTAGACGAGACGAAGTTAGGAGAGACTACACGCGTGAAAAGGGGGGTCATTCAGGGCACTAACCCGGCCTAAGATCGCAAGGTCACAAGTTCGAAGCTGCGCGAGTGGTCAGTTTTTTTTTCACTTTCAAATTGTTAACAAAGGAGGCCGCATGTGCTACGAGTCAGATGAAGTTATGAGCTGATGGTGGTCAGGGGGGGGGGGGGGGGGTCTACAGTGCTAATAATGTGCAACAGAACCCCTGCTTAGATATAAAAAAAATCGTTTCGAATGCAGGCGCCACACCCTTCCCAATTGTACATTTAAATAAAACGCGTGATAACAGATTCGTTTACAGAAAAAAAGAAAAGGTCCGAGTTGCTGCTTTACTGGCAACCACCTGTCAGTAATGCACTTCCTCACCAGAGCCGGATCAACCACACTGGAGCAATACTTGGCCACTACCTCTCTTGACTACAGCGATTAACCCTTGGCCCTCACTCCACAGCGGCTGCGAACGAACTGCCCAAGGCGGTGGTCAGACCTTCGACGCAGCAGAGGGTGCAAATAATCACTGCGTACAGCCAGGCTGCCATTGGAATCTCAACTTGGCTACCTTCAACGCTCGAACTATATATAGGTAGGCTAGTCTAGTTGTTCTGTTTGAAAAAATAAAGGGTGTTCAATGGCACACAATACAGCTCAGCAAAATTATGAGGAAACGTGAAGTACAGGGAGTGCTGAAGAACAAACACGTCCTTTGCTAAAATGGATGATTTGACAGAAAAGAACCAGAGGGGGGGGGGGTCTTATACACAAGTATACCACTGGAAACAAAGAAGAATACTCCAGCATCAGTGGGAGGGTGGCGAGTATCATAATTCTGTTTAACAAAGGTAGAAGGTGAAGGTGGTACACGCCTACGCGCCTACATCGAGCCATGATGATCATTTGATTGACCGCTTTCATGAAGATTTAGAGTCCACCATTATTAATGTAAAGTCACAGTATACTATCCTAATGGGTAACTTCAATGCAAAAGTAAGTAAAAAAACACGCCAAAGAGCATGCAGTGGGGGCATATGGCATCACCTCCAGAAATGCCAGAGGAGAATTATTAGTAGAGTTCCCCGAACGAAATTATTTACGGGTCCCGACTACTTTCTTTAGAAGACTAGCTAAGCGTAAGTGTAGGAGGCTAAGTCCTAATGGCGAAACTAAAATATAATAGACTACATTCTGTGTACACATCCAGGCATTGTACAGAGTGTAGAAGTAGTTGGCAAGATCCGATGCAGTGACCATAGAATGCTAAGAGCTCGTATTCAGCAATAATCAAATCAAAACAAAGACAAGAACTGATTGTGCAAGAGGCCAAATAATGAACTAGTGGCGAGAGGGTATATACAGGAATTCAGCGTTTTCTACCGAATGTATTTGAGACCCTAAACGAGGTAAACGTAACTAGCGTTGACACAATGAACGATAATCTTACTAGTATCGTCAACCAGTTTTTTATGGAAATCGGAGCTAGAATCACAAGAAAAGACCCTAACAAACAATTTCAGCACACAAAAAACCTAATAATAGATGACAAACTATAAAAGCCTTATATGCAACAGACAAAACAGAGCTAGTAAAGCTTCCAAAGTTAATTGATAGGCGTAAGGTAGCCGACATCAGAAGGTAACACATAGAGAAAATTGAGCAGGCTGTAAAAAGGGGCAGGGGTTTAAAAGCTTGATGATTGATGATTGATTGATGTGTGGGGTTTAACGTCCCAAAATCACCATATGATTATGAGGGACGCCATAGTGGAGGGCTCCGAAAATTTCGACCACCTGGGGTTTTTTAACATGCACCAGAATTTCGCACACGGGCCTACAACATTTCTGCTTCCAGCAGAAATGCAGCCGCCGCCGCCTTGATTTGAACCCGTGACCTGCGGGTCAGCAGCCGAGTACCTTAGCCACTAGACGTGACCTAAAAACTGCGAAGGCAGACTTGTGCATAGGCAAAATTAGATGTATACATTGAGGGAATAGGAAGGCAATGTCATAACCAATAGGAATGGCATAGTCGACGCGGTGGGAAAGTTCTACAGAGAGCTTTGCAAAAGCCACAACAACCTGGATGATATTATCTGAGACAATAATAGTCAAGAGAAATTGAACCTCCTACCAGCAACGACAGGGGAAGTGAAGAAAACCCTGAAAGAAATGCAAAGAGGCGAAGCCGCTGGGGAGGATAACAGCAGGCCTCTTAGAAGATGGTGGAGAAATTGTGTTATAAAAACTGGCCACCTTATTTATGGTGTGTCTTTTGACGGGAAGTTTACCAGAATTTTGAAAGAACGCCAACATGGTCTTCATGCATAAGAAAGGAGACATACAGGCCCTCAACTTACAGTCAATTCTATACAAACTATTTACAAAAATAATCGCTAATAGAATTATTAGGCAATAAAGTTTAATCAACCAAAGGACCAAGCGCACTTTCATACTGACTGCTCCATAATAGACAATAATCATACTGTAAATCAGGTAATAGAAAAATGAGAGAAATACAAGCAACTTCTATATATACCCTTCATATTCTGCCAGCAGGCATTTGACTACGTCAAGACTTCAGCAGTAATGCAGGCCCTGCGAAATCATGGCATCTAAGAACCTCACGTAAGCCTACTGGAAGAAATCTTCAGTGGAACCACAGCCACCATAGTTCTTCGATAAAGAAAGCAGCAGAATCTGAATAAGAAAGGGTGTAAGTCAGGAAGACCCAATCCCTTCAACGCCATTCACCATTTACAGGAGGCTTTCAGGACCCTGGTTTGAGAAGAGCTAAGAATAAGACTTAATGAAGGGTGTCTTAGAATCCTGTGATTCGCTGATGACATTGCCTTGATAAGTACCTAATGAGACGAATTACAGTTCATGATTACATAACTGCACATGGAAGAAAGAAAGGTAGGTTTTAAATTTAATATGCACAAACTTTAAGTATAACGTGCAACAGTCTCGGCACAAAACGCACTTTGCGGTAGGTGTAGAAACTGTCAGTTGTAAAGAAATATGTCTACTTAGGACAGGTAGTAACCACGAAGCTGAACTATGAGAGTGAAATAAGGAGAAGAATAAGGATGTTGTAGATCACGTTCGGGAAGTATTCTTAAATCGTGAATTGTAATCTGCCACCAACCCTAAAAATTAAGGTATACAACAGCTGCACCTTGCCATTACTTACCTAGGGAGCAGAAACGTGGGGGCTTACAAAGAGCGTTCAGCTTAAACTGCGACTGAAGCAGCGAGTGATGGAAACGAAAATGATTGTTGTGATCTTAAGAGACAAGAAGTTAGAAGAGTGGGTCATGGTACAAATCGGCTTTGAGAATATCATATTTGAAACCAAGAAGGAAAAAAATGAACATGGGCCGAGCATCTCGCGCGTAGGCAGGATAACTACTGCTCATCAATAACTACTGGCTGCATTCCCAGCGAAGCAGAGCTGCTTAGGGGGAGACAAAGTAAGGTGGGCCGATGATATTAAAAAGTTTGCAGGGATTACTTGGCAAAAGAAAGCACAAAACCGGGTTTATTGGGTGGAACATGCGAGAGGCCTTCACCCTGCAGTGAGCGTAGACAGGACGATGATGCTGAAGATGAAGGTGCAGCACAATAATGTAGTGCAACGATGTGACGCAACACGCAGCTCGTCGATTGGTCTAAACCAAATCTCAACAAACAGTTATGAAGTCAACGTCACTGATCAGCGAGTTTACGTCGCTGCACGTAGGAGGAGGTTTGTCAACGCAAGAAAACTGCGCTAGCTTGCTTGGGGTGTGTACGAAAAAAAAAAACGCGGAGCCTGTTGACTGTCCCTTCAACAACTTCTCCGTCCAAACATGCTTGTGAAATATGAGCATATGTGGCCGCTCTGGCCAATTCAGCGGCCGTGACATTAGAAAAAAAAAAAGGCAGATCCCACGAACAGGGGGGAACGATGATATGCGAAGCACGAATTAGGAAGGTTGATATGTCACTATAAAATCAGCACAACGTTACAAGGCGGAAGCAAACTATGCCGTACGTGACTTCCATGTA